GAATTCATTTAACTCATTAATATTTAAAACCTGATGAAACTGATCTTTTCCGGTCCCGAACTGGTACCGCGAAACACCTTGGCAACCTCTACAGAAAAGGCTCTAACTGGTGTCAAAGATTCCAAAGCGGGACCAACAATTTTAGCTTACGCAAATGCTGCAAGAACGCACAAGCGTAAAATTTTAATAATCGGAAAAAATACACGACCTCGAGCATTTAAAGGAGTAAAGATTTTCCTCGTTATATATCGTGCAAATAAAACAACATGGGTGACACAAGCGTTAATGAATGATTGGTTTGAAAATCATCTCGTACCCGAGGTCGGCAATATTTGAGTTCGGTTGGTTTACCTAATGAAGCAAAAATTGCCCTGAATGTGTAATAACTGTTCGGCTCACACTTCAATTAAGTTTTAATGAAAGATAATGTATCCGTATTATTCTTTACTCTAAACTGTATATCCATCATATATCAGAATAGTGCACCGGATGAAATGGAAATGTAAAATCCATGTTAAATTTCTTGAACAATGGCAAGACTATTTTAGCATAAAATCTGCTGTGGACCTTATAAGAAATAGACCAACAAAAATGGCTTTTCTGCCTCATCTGACGCATTCCCGGTTGTCATCTTGATCGCATCTGGAGGAGTAGGGACGACTTGCAGAAACTTACAATGGTTGGTTATTGCAGCATGTATAATTGTCAAGAAAAAGTTGGTTGTAGCGCCTCATTTTACAAATTAGAATTTCTACATATTTTTATTTTTGAAACTCAGATCGATTTAAAAAAAATTTAGCGTATTTATCAAGCATAATTAACGTTCCAAATAATTATAAAGCTGTTGCATACTTTCAGGGCTGGATATTTTTTTAGCTTTTTCTATGCTATAAGGAAATTTGTAACTACTTCTTTTAGAAAATAATATTTTAAATCTGAACTAATAGAAAATTTCAAATAAGCATTTTTTATGCTTTTTATTGGTATAAATAAGTAAAAAATACTAGAATATTTTAAAACGAATTTTTAAAAGTTTTGTTTAAAATTCTAAATTGTGCTGCTTTTTTAAAATTATAGATGAGTGTTGTAGCACAATTTCTATAAAGGAATTTTATTTCAATTATATTTCATAATACATCATAGTGATAAACACTTTTGACTCCTTAATAATTTTTATACATTTAATTCTAATATTAAAATTGTATTTAACCGTAATAATTAATTTGGTTATATTTTATAGTGATTATTTTTTAAATTTATTTTTAGTTCTGAGTAAGATTGTTTTTTATTTACTGTTAATTTAATTTATTAGCCGAAAGGGGCGGTAGCCTGGAAAGGCTGTTTGTTGCGCAGCGGTATTTTGCGCTGTTTCACTTTAAATGTTTCTCCTTGCAAATTGTTGTTACCAAACATTATCGCCCTGTATTATATTTAAAGAAATTAAATAATGAAGAATCTGCATGAATACATGCATGTTTCTCGCACTGTGACAAAAATGACGGTATCTAGAGCTTTCAAATTTTGAATAACGTAATCCTCCACCCGAACATGGGCATCTGGACGGCCGAATTTCGAATTTTTTAAAATCTATTTCATATTTTGTAAAACTTTAACGAATTTTTAATTAACGAACTCAACGAGTTCAGAGCGAACAATGGTAACGCTGTACGGAAAATAACATTTTTATCTCCAGCGCGGAAATTCTAAAGATATGCTGTTTTCAAATATTTTGTGATATTGCTGTTGAATTGAATTTTATGTGGTTTACAGGCTAAGAACATGATATTTAATAAATATAGGTAACACACAAAACGTTAAAAGGGTCCCTTTTGGGCGTAATATAAAATCTGAGTGCTTCTAGATTTTATTTTATCTTTTTTTTTCCCTTCATTACACTCAGAAAATTTTATGCTCCGAATTTTATGAATTATTAAAATAAACAATCCACTTTAATGTTAATAATTTAATGATCATATAATCAAATAAATGATCGGTTTGTAATGTTATTATAGTTTGGAAAATGACTGCCTGAAAATGTTCATTAAATTAAAAAAAATTATCAGATTTTGTTTACTTTTACCTTATTTATTTCAAAGCATCCCGTACTATCAATCTTATTTAATTTTACTTTATTTGTATGCAAAATTAAGTTAATAAATTTTGTCCTTAGAGTTGTTACTGTTTTACCAAAGTATAGATGTTCGTACAAGAATTACGCGTGAGAAAAATGCGCGAAATGCAGTAAAAAGGGCTTTAATGAGATATATTAAATCCTATTTGAAAAAAAATGTGACTTTCATAATCTCAAAATTATACAACGTGTCACATTTAATAATTAAAAACAGTTATGTGGTACAAACGCCATAGGTTTCAGTGTTAAAGTAAACCAGATCGTCCCTACTCTTTCTTGCGGACATGTCGGTGACGCGCTCCCCGCCATGGGTTAGTCTATCTCTTATAAGGTTCATGCTTCGAGCTTTGATACTTTTTGGCGACAGGTATTTCACGCATGCGCAGCTGTTTCCCTTTTCTTTCGAAGGGAGCCTTTCCTGCTGGTGCGAAGTTTTCCTTCTTAAAAATATATATTCTTTGACCTGGGGGCCGCGTACATATTCACTCTACTTCACAGTGGCGTCTCTGTTCCGCAGGGCTTACGCTTCATGTACGTGCAGTACCAACTCTTTCTAACACCTTTACGAAGATGTTAGCAGTACACAGATTTTCAGCACTGCGATCTTCGTCGATTGGCGACAAATGTCACCATTCACTTCAGGCACGCATTGTCAATTGTATGTGAGTTCTTTTTTCCATATACAAAAAATAAATGTTTACTAGTATTCAAGGTCCAAAAGATAAATCTTCAGTACTATTTGGATTAAGAATTACTGCTTTGTTATTCAGATAAACTCAAATGCAGAATTTATTTACTCGGGACTTAAAAGCTTATACGGAAATAGACGTTGTTCTTTCTTGACGTGTAGGTGTTAATACTGATGAATTAATACTATAGGTTTCTGTAACTCTTAATAATCAATTTACTTTACCTTATTTCATATTTATTTCCTAATGTATTTTGTTTAATGTTCCATCCTATATTTATTGTTATAAAATTTCTTTTAAAATTTCTTTGAATTCATATTCTCCACAAAGGCATCTCTCATTCAAATGATTGTTGATTGCTTTGACATAATCAATTAATTTAAACACATTTTACAATTTTTTTCTAATGCAGTTTTTATATCTATCTATATTTTCTTATATCTTATAAATACATAATATGTACAGGTTCTATATTATTTGTCTATATTTTCTAGTTGTTGATTACATTATCTTACCTATTAGTAATCCAAAAGACATATAGGTTATTCGTAATCGATCCTCTAATGACTACCATCTTTTTTTGGCTTACCATCTTTTTTTTGCTGAAACCGAATTTTGAGAAAATACTCGCACAGAATAAAACCTGAAAAAGCAACTATAAGAAAAAAGGAAAATAAAGAAGAATTGAAAAGGCTAAATAAAGAAGTTATTAACAAAAAGCAACATTGAGTTAAAATACATTTTTAATAACTCAGTATATTATTCCTTAGTATTTATCACTAGTGTGAACTTTCATGTGTTTTTCTTTTAAATGACTGAAATTTTTTATCAATTTTTTCACAATTTTTATTTTTCTAAATTTCATAATTAGCTGAGCAAATCTTTTGAAATCATAAATTCATCAAAAACTTGATTCATATTTATTGTATAATTTGTGACAGTTTAATTATTTTTTCATTTGGAGCTTCAATTTCAAACCATTTTAATTTACTGTTGTCTATTCAAATAAAAGATTCCACCTCACCAAAACTGTTTTCTAATAGATTAGTATACGAAAGACATCAATCAAAAAGGTTGTAAATTCTTGAAGAGTTGTAATGATATTAATAGTTCCGTTATTTTCTAATATAAAACTAATTTTTTCAGGTGTGTCATCTTTACCATGGTCTGTGCGTATGTGCACGAAGCAGGTTTTGTTTTGCAAAAACTTCCTCACAATCATCACATGTAAATTTAGGAGTAGTTCTTAATGTAGGAGCTAATTTCTCTCCTTTTGAAAGATGGCACTTAATAATATGCGACCGTAGTTTTCGTCGGAAAGAATAGAACTTCGAAAATTCCAAACATAAAAATTTTCTTCATAATAATCACATTAAATACAAGGCACATGTAAACTGGTAAGTCAGGGTTCACTTCGTAGCGTGACAATATTTAGCAGAACAATATGTCTTTAATCGCCAATCTTATGATACATCGCCAATATCGTATAGCAGATGCCAGCCTATTACGCTAGCTAAGTATCTTAACAAGCAGATGCTATCAATATTTTGTATTCGACACATCAGCAAAATATTGAAGTGCACCACATTGGCAGACAGGAAGAAAAGGGAGAGATAGGTTTATATGTTAATGAAGAGTGCTTTTTAATTTTCTTAAAATTATAAATAATAATTTTTTTTTTCAAATTCAGTTGTAAGGCGCAGTGTCTTAATTTTAGTGTCTTAATTTCGAATCTTTTCATGATAAATTCCATAGGTTTAATAAATGCCTGCGCCCCTCTGAGGGTCTACAAGAGATGTAGTGATATTTTATTTGGAATTCAATCTAATTTTCTAACAGATAGTAAAAATAACTATGTTGATTAATGATTAGTGATCCAACAAAATGTATATTATATAAAAGTGCTCCTCGAAATTGTAAGGTTTAAGAACAGTTCGTACCGTCATATGAACATTGTTATAAATTAGTTTCATTATGCAACTGATCATTCCCTCATATGTAAAAAAAAAAACCAACTACGAACTTTATAAAGATATTTATGGTATAAAAAGTTCTTGTGTATTTTTTAGATTTCTTAATTAGAGGAAAACATTTTCTAAAATGATTACACATTAGATACAATTATTAAATTTAGATAAAGCGCGAGTAATGTCAGGTTGAAGGTCATCTATGGAGACCTTCCTTAGAGAAAATGCTCTTGTTAGTACTATCTGTGTAGGATAGTTATTCCAGAAATTTCTCTTGTGATTTGTAAGAATATGCAGCACACGTTTTTTTAGCGTATTATTTATCGCGTATACGGTGGCATGTATCAGCTGTGAATCTTATTTGCGCATGCTTTTCTTCATGGTTTGCGAGGTCGTGTGGAAGTGGGATTTGTTGACGATGGTAAGGTTGTTGCTATTTGTAATTGATCTGCTTTCTACCAGTTATGATATTTAGACATTAATTTTATTTCATTCATTTGTAGCACAAACTGAAGTACTCTCAAAAGGAAAAAGTAAAGCAGTTTATCGCTTTTACGCAGACGGGCGAGAAAACAGCAATATACTGTCTTTCCCAACATGATTGGAAATTGGACGTAGCGTCAGATAATTATTTTCAAAATCCTGAACTGTATTTTCGTGAACAAAAAGCTGCTATTGACAAAAGAAAGTTAGAAAACTTGTATTCAAAATACAGAGGTAAGAATCATGTTTTAAAAGTTTGTTAGGCTTAATTTTCTTTAAGATTTATTTATGGATTTGGTGCATTGTATATTAAGTTCAAAGGAAAATATAAATAAGAAAATTTACATTTTTTCATAGTTTTCATGACTAGCAACATGGCTAAAACTATCGATGTTAATCTTTCCTAAGCGGACATTTTTGAGCTGATATTTATAATAAAAAATTTATTTGAAGTTTAGTAGATACTAAGTAAAAATCATAATTACCAGATTAAGACATGATAAAATTCTTGAAAGATGTTTGTGGAACGGTCTTCTGATAGACAGCTTCTAATATTTACTTTTAGAATTTGAGTATTTCTTTTTTAGGGGGGAAGTATAATTTTTTGTTAGAGGAGATTCTAGCTGATGCTGCTACATTTCTACGAATGTACTATGTTTTATTATTCCATATAAAAAATTGTTTAGTGTGGTGACTGAAACTGATAAGCATATTGCTGTAAACATGGTGTTTAGTAACTTAATTTCCCATGAACATTGACAGCAGTTAAAAGTGAATTATTTCTTTCTTTATGTAGTTAATTAAAATATTGGTATAAACTGTTTAATTAATAGATCACATCTGTAGTTAATATATAACTTATGTGGTAAATGCTTTGTATTGTAATAACTAATGGATAACCTTAATAAAAAAAAGTAGCTGTTTAAAAGAAAATAAGAAAATAAACATTCTGTTTTGTTATTTGTTTAGCCATAAATACTTCCAGCAGAGCCTGGAAAAGTGATAATAATTATTTAATTAATATATCGTATTTTTAGCAGTGGAAATGTTTTTCTCCTGAATCTGAATGGATTACTTATGATAAATCACTTCGTATTATAATGCGATGGCCAATGAATAATTCTGAAATTTTCTATTGTTGTAGTAAATTTTAAAAAAAGTGTTGTAATGCATAATTGTTAATTTGTCATATTTTTTACTCAGCAATGAGGTATTATTTAGCCCATGTTCATGTAATGTTTTATCAACAGTGGCATTTTCTGTAGAAAAGCTCAAACTAAAAGATAATTAAGAAAACGAAATCGAAGTTGTCATGGGTAAATATGCAAATATATGTAGATTATATGTAAGATTTTACTTTTGCCTTATCTTTCAAATAAGGTGAATCATATTGGTTTTCAGTTTTAAGTGACATAAGCAGGTATAGTTTGTCTGCTAATTTAAAGATATTTTATTGTGGATCCTAATATGAAAATTATATTTTTTTTGGTAGCTTGATTAAATAAATACATTTGTGTGTCTTAAATGATAGGCTGCTGTTGAATATTTTATGTAAGAAATTAAACAGAAATTGTATACACTAATATGTGTACATTTGTAATTCGTAAAAATGTAGCCTATTATACGAAATAAAGCATTATAAATCAGGCTGGTGTGTTTCAACCAAGATAGGTGAAACCACTGATTGTAACAAACTAAAACTGTTATTTAAAAAGTGCTGTAATGGATAATTGTTAATTTAACATACTTTTACTCAGCAATGAGCATGATTATTTAGCACATGTTCATGTAATGATGTTTTATCAGCAGTGGTATTTTCTATGGGAAACCTCAAACTAAAAGATAAATTAAGAAAAAGAAATCGTCGTTGTCATGGGTAAATATGTAAATATATGTAGATTATATGTAGGATTTTATTTTTGCCTTATCTTTCAAGTAAAAAAATAGCCCTGAAATAAAATTTCTTGTATACTGAGCTAAGTGAATCGTGACAAACTTATTTGTACCGTAAAAGTGTCAATAAGTGCAGAAACTTGTGAAATAACTGAAAACTTATTGACATACTGTAATAGTAGAGAGAAATGTTAGACTGAAATAAGTCCAGCTACTATATTTACAGTATTTTTTAAAATGTTATTTAACAATAATTAAGGATTACATTTTGCCATTTAAATTCCACCTGATTTTTTCCCCTATGAAATCATCTATAGCTAAAGACCAATTTATCTGTTTCAAAATACAGCATCTTTGTCAGTTTATTATGAATAAATGAAAAAATGGGGGAATATTTTTTTAAGCTTAGCAGAACTTGCAAGGAACCTGTTTTCCTGTTTTTAATAAGTTTCTTTTAGAGTATTGCTGACAGTTTCTGCAGGTCGCATTTTGCGAGCATTTGCAATAGAAACATGTAAAAGAAATTTTCTATTTAAAATTATGGAAGTTTGACAATGGCAAGTTATGTATTTTACAAATAATTTACCAAGCAGTTTGTAAATGTTCATAAACCAGCATAATGCTATGCTGTAATTTTTATTTATACCTTTTGACTGCTGCAGTAGGTGAAAAATGCAGTTCTATAGTTCATTTTAAATTGAGCTGAAAATTAAAGCATTGTTGAAATAAAAGCTGTTTCTATTTAATGTATTTAAATTGATATTAAATATTACATCTCTCTGTAATAGTAAGTAAGTTAAGAAGTTACAGTGTTACGAATTTTCAATTTAAATTTTGATTGTTTGCAGTATAATAAGCAAAAAAACAATATTCGTTCTTAACTTCTTTTATGTAGTTATAAAAGGATGGCAGTTACTTGACACAGATGAATAATAAACGCCTTCTGTTTATGCATTCAGTATTTTTGTCTTAGGTGTACGTACCTCCATCTGTTGAAATATGTTCAAAACATTGAGGCTGCATATTATAAAGTATTCATATTCAAATTTACAGGGATGTTTTGGAATAAATTATAGTTGATTATTGAATTATGTTCGTTTGAATTTCACTTATATGGGGATTTGTTTTTCTCTAAATGTTCTCGAAAATATTTTTGGAGATTTAGAGCAATTTGAAAAAATTAAGAGGGATTGTAGTGTGCAAGGGGTGGGTGTAAATATTAAATATAATGGGTACATGAAAAGGATCTGATAATTTATTTTCATAAAATAATCAATTATAAAAAATAAGAAATTCATCAGCATGTACACAAACATTTGCAGGGATTGAAATATAAGCAAATATAAAAAAACCATCAAATGACAAAATTTGTTAAAAAAAGTTCTGCGTAATAGACTGCTTTCTTGAAATAATTCTGTAGCTACTGCTGCTAATATTGGGATTAGTTAGGTGTGAGAGTCTGTTTAAAATGCACCGTACGATGCTGTTTAAGCAGTTCATCAGTTCAGGAAAAAGAGCGTATGCATTAAAGTGTGATCAATTCTCAGTTAATTTTTATTGCATTTAGCATACAACTGCAAAGTTTAACAAGGAAAGCTTTAAATGATGCAAAAATTCGCATATCCATCTAGTTATTCTGTCATTGCTTTCCAAAAGCAGGGATGTCATGCCATTTGAAGAGAAAGTTGTATAAACATGTGCTTGTAGATGTTTCATTTGTTATGAGGCTTTTGATTTTTGATGTCTAGTAATACATCTGCAATGTTTTGTAACCTGTTTGTAGTTTACATGATGAGAGACAGGCATTCTGTAAACAGATGATCTTTCTAGTGTAATTTATTCAAGATCATTCCAGCATGTAATAAATTTATTGGATGTTTATGTTTTCCATAAAGCTTGTGGTTTGTAGCAAGATATTAAGTTTTTGAGGAAGGAAATAATAAAACACATATTTGGAATGCATGGGATGATAATCCCCGTGTTTTTCTACGAGGGTTAGCTGTGTTAAATATATCTTGCTTTTCTTTTAAGGTAAGTCTTGCTGTTATTGAGAATATTATGAAAAACATATGATGGGTAGTTAATGTCATCTGTTGAAGAAAATAAAAGTAAGCAGAAGAGAAACTAATTTGACTACGATCTTCAGTGGAATGGCATTTGAACACCCGGGTAAAACAGTCCTACCCCATGTAAAACATTCTGGAACTTTGCGAATGATTCCTAGGAATAGCATAATAAATACATAATAATAGTTTTTTTTTTTTAAATAAAATTTTTCAAAAGATAGGAATACGGCTCACATGTAGAAGTATTAAGTTATAACGAAGGGAAGAAAGCCCAGAGCTGTCAAACTGGTGATCATGATAGGTATATATCCATAAAGAAAGCATTTACAGGTAGTGTAAAACGTAATGGCACTCTGAATCTGTTAGGAAAAGCATCTACAGTAGAATAGTTATTTGCTGAAAATATAGATAAGATATAACATAACAATATATACAAAAGTTATTCATACAAATTTCATTAAATTCAGTGTAGAAATTCAAGAATTGAGGAGCCTACAATTAACACATTAATTACTGGGGGAGGTACCAAAAATTTCTTCAAATATGGAGAATATAACAAATAATTTGTCTATAGAGTTGTTAGTAGCCTGGATTTCAGGTAACTTGCTTGCTATTTTATTTAAAATATTTCGAAGCAGTATTCCATTGAACATTTTATTAAGCTCCGTAAAGAGTTTGACAATATCAATAAGTCCAGTGTCATCAGCATTTTTCATGTCATTAACATCTATTGTTTTAGTGGCAGAGCCAGAATTGGATTTAATAGCAGGATTATTATTTTTAGTTACACTTGCATAAGATACACCTTCTACAATATGAGCAGTTTTTTTTTTTTTTACATGAATATCACCATTATCAATATTATCATTTTTATAATTATCGCTAGATTTAACATTATCCACAGATTTTTTTTTTTATGGGCATTGAGGACAGGGAATTTCGGACACCCGCGATAGTTCGCGGTGTGTCCGACTTGCGTACAGTTGCAGCAGCGTAACATTATCTAATCTTTTTGCAGTACTATCATCGGACTTGTGAGGTATAACACATTTAACACAACATGGTTTAAGCTTGCATGTGTCAGCTGAATGATGGAAGTGCTGGCAGTTATGACACTGCACAACACTTCCATTTACCTTGTAAGTTTTAACAAAAATATGGAAATCCAAGAATTTTGTGATGTCGTAGATTTTTTTTACCTCAGGAATGTTTTCCTATTGAACTTGGAATAAGGGCATGGGAACCCTAGTCTTAATTCGGTGCATTTGCGCACCC